TTTTTTTGTTAAATAAAATATTATATTCTTTTAAGTTTTATTTATTATCTTGTTTGTATTAATATATTATATTATTAAATATTGTAATTGACTAATTTTTCAAGATGCATGATTATTAATTAGTTTTTGTTAAATATAATTTGTTCATCAGCTTAGTTTGTCAAACATAGCCTACATATATCCTACAAAACGCTAGTAAGCAAGTTCCAATTCTAATGATTTATGTTTTTTTTTGTTTTATCATTATTAATCAGCCATTAAAACTCAAATCTGAATTTCGATATGCTATTATAGCTTCTCAATTTATTTAGTGATGATGAAAGTTGATAACACCAAACAAATAGTGATGGTAATGTAATGGCAATACCATTAGGGGTTGTAATTTTCTTACACTTGCGACAGAATATAACATAAACACATATTATTATATATATATATATGTATATTGTGCGTACATATATATATATATTCCCGTGTATGGAATAATTTACAAAAAAATTGCATGTCAAGTAAATACGATTCATTCATGCATTTTAATTATAAAATGAAATCACAAAATAGTAAATGATTGAATCCAGCGGAATAGAGGTTGGTGAAGTCTACAAGTCTAGAAAATAGCCGATATTCTTGAATTTCTTTACAGCTCATACAAAGAAAATAGGGAGTCCATATTTGATTCTTGGTCGGAAATCCAAATTATTTGATGAATATGATTGAAGTAACTTTACCCTTAATTTAAAATAAGTAAAAGGAAGTTGTAGATCGATATGAATTGAATGCAACTATTTCTTGATTGCTCAACTCGAATAACAGCATTTTTAATTCAATTAGTGTTATTAATTGTTTGAGTTTTTTTTATTTATAAAATTTGGATATGTACTTTGTTAATTTATAGATAACTTTCACGTTAAGGAAAAGGAACAACTTTTTGAAATCAAAGCCTTGATGTCTATATGATTTGATTCCCACGTTATTAAATCAACCAAGAGCATCATTCATTAATTGATCACATCGATCATTTGCTTAATTAAACAAATAATGGTTAAAGTCAAGATAATTCTACTTCAACACCTGCTACTTGCTTCTTTACCCCCTCAACTAATTGGTAATTGCAACTACTAAGCTACCTTCCATTCATGGATCGATTGATGTATAATTTAATCCTTTTTGTTTTCTTAATTTTTGAATGAAAACGTTAGAATGCATGACCAGACAGACAACACAGTTTCATTTCTATTTAATTGCAAATTTTATCCAAAAGATAGTGTCATAATGAAAAAAGGGTTTTTGTGGAAGGGGCAAAGTAGACATTATCTAAAAAGGAAAAAGAGGGGAAGAAAGTCATGGTGCATGTACTTTAGCTTTATTCCAAAACAGTCCTTCACCCTTGAAAATACACACCCTCTTGGACCCCACAACTTAACTTAATTTCTCACAAATACATAATTATGAAGTAACAAAGTAATTAAGTATACCCAAACTCTATGTTTGACCTTAATTTGACCAATCCAATCCAATCCAAAATTGATGAAAGCTGCATGCATCATTTTTTAAATTAACACTCCTCAACTTTAATAATTTTCTCACCACCATAAATATATATATATTCTTCTCTCCATTTCCCTAAAATAATGAATCAAGCACACACACAAAGATGAACAAAAGAAGCTCTTTCAGAAGATCTCAAACATTCCAACCTACAAACTCTGATCCATTCAGAGTTACTAATGCAGTACCTCCAAGAAAGTCTTTGTCCATTGAGTTTCCCACTTCTCCTGATCAGTCTCTCTTTGAAGAACAGATGAACCATTTCACTCATCCCCACCACCCCATCTCACTGGTTAACCTGCAGGAGGCTTTCACCTGCTCCGGCTGCAAAGAACGTGGCGCCGGCAAAAGATTCGCCTGTCAGAAATGCGATTTCCAGCTGCATGATTTCTGTGCTTTATCTCCTCCATTTCTTAAAGCTCATCCCCTTCATCTCCAGCATCAGCTTGTCTTCCATTCTAAGCCCAAAACAGGTAAATATTATTAATTCATATGCATGCAACATGTATGATGTTCTTGATGAATTCTGTATATGATGCTGATGTTTGATGAAGGTGGGATTCGATGGCCAACGTGTAACGTTTGTGGAAAATCCACAAGAGGGTTTACGTTCAGATGCAGCTTCTGCCATTTCCAGATGCACCCATGTTGTGCCATGCTTTCTGACCAAATCAACTACCCATCTCTTCACAACCACCCCTTGTACCTCTTGCCATCATTAGCCTCCTCCGATGATCAACTCAACTTTATCTGCAGATACTGTAATAGAAAAAGATCTGGCCGTCTTTACAGCTGCAAGGTTTGTGACTATCATCTTCATGCAGTGTGTGCTAAGGACCTGATCAACGGGCTTAAAGTGAATGGCATCAAGAACTCAGAGAAGGCGAGCATTCTAGGACCAGCCATGCGGTTTGCTTCACAAGCTGTTGCTGAGTTCATCGGGGGCCTGATTGACGGGATCGGAGAAGGGGTTGGAGAGGCTCTGGTTCAGGACGTGGCAAGGAGTACTGGTGGCCGTAACAGAACCCCAAGAATATAGCCTACCTATTAAAATTAATTAAGGATTCTATCATATCCATATAATATGATATAATGACGTTTCTTGTTTATATATATATATATATATATATATATATATATATATATGCATGCAATTATCTGGGCAAGAAAAAGGTTGTATTTGTAAATTGAAAGAAGTCAGTTAATGTATTATATTAATGTTTATATCATCCATCTATTAAATTACATTGTGGTATGGATTTCAATTCTGTAATAGTTTGAATTTATATAAGCCATCTATATATTATTTTGGTATGAATTTATATGATTCATATAAATATTTAATTAGAAGATTCTTATTCTAAGAAATACTACAACTTAATAAAAACTGGCAATTAATTATCCCTTGGATTTCATTTCGCTACATTCAGTTAAGATTGGTTTAATTTGTTTGTAAATTAAATAAATAGATTAATGAATCATGTCTCTTGCTTTTGTTTTTGGTTAAAATATTATATGATTAATTCACCGTTAATTAATTGGAAGTATATTCCGTTACTTGCAGGAGCAGAGATGATCATTATGGTTGGATGGCCATGGAGTTATAAAACTTGAGTTATATATAAGTATAACCATATATAGTTTTTATGAATGCAAATTAATCCTGAGTTTATATTATATATAAAATATATATACCCCGTGCACTTTTTCTTTGTTTTCTTTTGAATTGGGTTTGTGAAATTGTGTGTTCTTGTATACCGTTAGTTTTTTGTGTAGATCAATTGTGAGCATATATAGAATTGGGACAATGATGAATTAATGAATGGTTTGTCCAATATCAAAGTAAAACACACATTAAACGCTTATTAATTATATTTCTCTTGTATCTATATCTATATCTAGTTGTATATATCTATACCTACAACTATAACATATAAAATAACTTATACATGCCTCACAGCTGTTTCTGTACTGCAAGGCGTAAGCATTATACAAGATATGATATTTGAAGCTTAATCATATATACCTCTCTTTTAGTTTGGTGTTGCCAAATCACATCACTTAATTAATGCATGTTCAGTTGTATATATGTATTCTTTTCAGCCATTTTCATGAGTGATTAATTAAAGGACTGGTTTCAAGGATTGGTTGGTATTCGAAATGAAATAAAAATACAAAAACCATTTCCAGATGGTTTACAATATGCACACCATCACTTTTGCCTTATAATAATAATAATAGCTTACCTCTAATTTATTCTTCTTGCTTTAACTTTTGGATTTCACAATTAAACTTGTAAATCGTACACAAACTCAAACTAACATCTTTGAAATTCTCATTTGCAGTTGAATCAAAACAGCCCTACAAATGTACAAAACTTTACAGCACAATATTAATGGCTACCCGTTCTTGTGTTACTCATACAGCGATCCAAGCATAAATATTATGTTATTATGCAACGGATCTGAAATGTGGTCAACAAGGTTCTCCACAGGTCCTTTACCAGTCAAAGCCGCTTGACCGTAGAAGCCTAGCCACGCAATCATCGCGAGACGCCCATTTTTTATCTCTTTCACCTTCAGTTCCTGAAAAGCAACTGGATCTCCAGAAAGATTCAACGGATCAAAGAGGACCCCGCCTGGATAATTAATGTCACCAGGCAGATATATTCCTAAAGGCTCAAGTGCCTCTATCCCACAGTATCTTGCATATTCAGGCCCAACCTGCACATCACAACACTTGAGAACCTACAAACTATTCATTCTAATACATGCCATATGCTAACATCATACACCTTCAAAAAAAGTAAAAAGGAAAATTTGATTGATAAGAGACATCATGGAATAGGGAAAGTTATACATAAAGATGAAGGGGTTACCATGAGAAGAGCTTGGCAGATAGCTATGACAATCACTCCTTGACTCCCAGCAAAATGGAGCCCCGGGATACCAAGATAATCCAGTGTCTCACCCTACCAAGTATGAAAAAATGGCATTTACTCATGATTATACAAGAAATTGGCAAATAATAACCTATTAGATTCATTTTTAATTAAGTCTTTGCTTCACGAGTCTCCAAAACAGACTTTGTTACTCTGTTTCATCATTCATGCCATAAATCTTCTGTGGCAGAGATCATATGTTCTATTTGGGATTATAATAAGGGTGTTAATTGGAGCTCAGAGATGAAAGGATCCCGTGACAGAATACATATGGCTGCCATACCTTATGGTGTGGAATTACGCATTCCTGACTGCATCTGGCAGTTAGATATGATATAGGATGTTTCACAAGGGATATGAAATACTACCTGAAGCTTTGAGTATCCAACTCGCCACCAAACAGGTTCCACAAAATGGAAAGCACCTACAAGGTCTAATAACTCTGGAATTAAGGCACCAAATGCGCCAAGCATAGCCCAACGTGCATGCAATATTTCAAAACTGCAAAAACAAACAAATGCAATAGTACATGTATGATGTCATAACACGAAATGCTTCCAACATTGTATTTGGTCATATGTGTTGCAATACCCACCCTCATATGAACATTACAGATAGATCAGGAGTGTAACCATGGAATGAGGGAAATCTTTGACACCACCAACTAGATGATGGCTATTACTCAAGCATAGATTGATACAACACAAAAGCAAGGAGAATTTACTTGTAGTATCTCTTGGAAGACGCAGGATCTTTGCTCAGACCTGCAATATCAAAGCCATAATCCCCGGGTAGTTCACCATCAAGATAGGTAGGATATTCAAATGGGATCGGGCCAAGCCAGCGAGGCCTCTCTTCTCCGTACCAAAGGCTGTAAAATTTAGATGAAGGATTTTAAAACTTATATATCAAATATATGGTAATGGTTTTCTGATACTCCTATTGTGCTTCAGGGTTATATTGTGGCTTAAGAAAATTGGTCTCTGTAACATGATGGTATGAATCAATTCAAGTGGCAATAAGTGCAATTTCAAACACATTAAAGAGGAAAAGTGAAAAAGATTACCTATCCTTTTTTGCCTTTTGTGCCAATGTTTTATTGAGTGAAGCATTCTTAACAGCAACTTTCTTTTTGTCCTCCATTCTCCGCTGCAGCGTCTCCCCAAGGGGACTGTTGGCGATAGCTTTAACCGCAGTGAAAGGAATCGCTGAGAAAACTAATACCCCAGCAAGCTATTTGACAAAAATTCAGGACCTTTTGTTGATTAAACTCATTAACATACAAGAAAAGTTATAAATAAAAAAAAAAAAAATTGGAGTAACTGCAGCATCTTTCCTTATAAAATAAACACAAAAGAAACATTATAACAGAACTGTAAAATTGGTACCAAAAGAAATGACAAGAATATAAGTTCGAATCAGAAAGCAACACATATTAGGCTCAAATAATTTATTAATAGCAATGGACATGCTTATATTAAGCTTTCTTGGAGACTTGCTAACAATATATTCCTGATTATTGCTCATCAGGCGTCTACTTGAAAAGAAGAAACCAGTGTTAGTGTACCAATAGGCCATTGTAGCATGCTTTCTTTAGCATACAAGTCATGGTGTTTCTGTATCTGCAGATCTCAGATGGTGTGCGTAGGGCATAGGATTATGATCGGCAGTTTGTTGATGATAGATTAAATCCAATATAGAAGCTGAGAATAAATCCTGAAGATAAGAGAGGAATATATAGAGCAAAAGAGGTACCTCTTGCCATGAAGCTCGGCAGCGAGAATCGGGTGATTTGGCAGGCCGGAGTGAGGGTCCGGCGTGAAGCCCAGTTAAGGAAGGGGAGGTGGAGAGGTGAAGAATCATATTTGCCACACCATCTGGATACCAAGCTCAGCTGCGAGCGATGCATATTTTTTTATTTATTATTTTCTGCTTTTAAAAGTTTTCTTTTTTAAATTCATGACAACAGATAAAATGTGATTTTAATATACCAGATGAAAAATTTAAACAAAAAGAAAACTTTTATAAAAGTTTAAGGTTCATAAAAGAAAGTAAAGCCATGGTTAAAATTGTTATATGATTTTTGAATTAATCTAATTATGGTTGATTTAATGTATATATTAATTAAGGAGTTAACAATCATATTAAATCCATGATATAGAACACATATCCGGTTCATCGGTTGGGTTGAGTTGGGTTCAAAAAGCTCGAACGCAGTTTCAACGCAATTGAAAATATTACAACTCGATTAATTACCAATCGGTTCGTGTTGGATAGGCAAGTTAATTAAGTTTTTGTATACCCCTACTTCAACCATCCACATTTTAACTAGTTGAGTTAGAGATAGAGACTATTTTCACAACAAAATGTATATCACAATGACTGTTTCTATAGTTTACTCTTCCATATATCAAAATGTAAAATGGATCAACATATATATTTTATTTGGTAAAAATCTATTTGTACTAGGTATCTATTTAAATTTTGCACTTAGCTACATTGTGTGGGGGATACGACTACATCATGATGGACAAAAAAACAAAAAAAAACATAATTGACATTTTGGTTGGTACGCAAACATGATTGGATAAGACAGAACTGAACAAGACGGTAGGCCTGAACGAGACAAACTGGACAAAACAAGTGTCTGTCTGGTGTTTAGTACGACTAGGCATGTACATGAGAGAACAAGTGTCTATATCGTGTTTGGTACGACTAGAACTGCTAGACAAGTTGCTCTCAAAAGTTATTTTGTGATTTTATATATCATATAATAGTTATAATTAACACAAATAAAGTAAATAATATAATTTATAAATATTTTTACACAATTTTTATATACATAAATATAAAATAGTACCAAATTTGAATAATTTTTTTTTATATAATTGATGGTAATTTGAAAAAAAACCCGATTTATACAAAAAAGAAATTATGTTTCATTCGGTTTACAAGATCCTTATCAATTGGTGAAGGCATGATGAAAATTGTTGCAACAACAATGGTTGTTTGTGGAAGTAGAATCATTGGTAATTGGTAGACGATGGTGGTTGTGGAGGACGTGAAGATGGTGGATAGTAGTGATGGTGACGGTCGACGGTGGAGGAGGAGGTAGTTGTGGTCTATGTGGTGGAGGTAGGTGTCATGGTGGGCAATGGTGGAGGTGGAAGTGGCCAACCATACTAGTGGTGATGGAGATGGACGATGGTGGTTGTGGAAGACGTGAATATGGTAGATAATGGTAGGGGTAGCCAATAGTGATGGATGATGGTGGTAGTGGTAGTGGTAGTGGTAGTGGTAGTTGGTGATGGTTGTCGTGGTGGAGCTAAGGTGGGTCATGGTGGTGGCGATGAACGGTGTTGATCAGTGGCCGACGATGATTGTGGAAGTGGTGGAAGAGGTTGCAGTAGAGGAGAAAGTGGAGGAGGTTGTAGTAGAGGATAAGGTGGAGGTGGCCAACAGTAGTAGTGGTAATAACCGGTGGTGGTCGGTAGCTGACGACGGTTGTGGAGGTGGTGGAGGAGGTTGTTGTAGTAGAAGAGAAAGTGGAGATGAACCCAACAGTGGTAGTGGCGACAGATGGTGGTGGTCGGTGGCCGATCGTGGTTGTAGAGGTGGTGATAGATGATGGTCAATGGTGGTTGTGAAGGTGGTGGGGGTGGCCGATGATGGCAGCAGCCGCAACTAGAGTGATGACTATTGACCAGGAAAACAAATACCATGTTAAAGATATATATATATATATATATATATATATATATCAAACGGAGGTTAATTAGTAATATTTTAGTTTTTGTCTCATTCTTATCCCATATTGCTCTACCTATTTTAATATAACAAAAAATCATATTTTCTGCTCTATCATGTCTCAATTCTTATCTTTGTTCCGTGTCGTACAAAACGTAAAATAGTTAGTTGTTGGTCTAGCTCATGTTAAGCAAAAACTTCCCTTTGATCGAGATGACTACGGTCAGCTTACTAGTAAAATAAAACCAAAATGGTAATAAAATATAAAACGAATAAATAAATAAATCGGGCTTGTTTGGTCTAAGCTCTTTACCGTTGCCATCATTTCAAATTTTGAAAAAAGTCATCTTCGTCACTCACTCGCACACTCAGAGGTAATACTCTAGGGTTTTCAATTTCAAATTTCTTAGCAATGGAGGAGAATGTTCCCACCATCACCATGCCGTTGTTTATGGATCCAGAGACGGAGTTCTTAGCCTCTAAACAAGTAACCGGCAACGAATGGGAGCTCTTCAAAGAAAATGTAAGACCATTGAAGAGAGGCCGCAATGTAAAACTCCTCAACGATTCCCTCAAATCCCATGCCGATATTCAAATCCGAAACTCTCTGATTGACACCCGAAGGTCTCAATTCTTTCTAATCCTCAATCTTTATTATGTAACATCTGATTTCTTTTACTCATATGAGCAAACTATAAGAAAACTGCGATTTTCGAAGACGAAATTGATATAAAACCAAGTAGACGAGCAAAGGAAAGTTACAACAGGGTTCCTGGTCTGATATGAGAAATCGAGTTATTCATTGTTCTATTTATCGTTAAATCTTGTTCATGATTATCTTTGTCTTATTGTTTTTTAATGTTATTAGAAAGCTCATTAAAGCCATTGATGAGTATGAAGGTGAAGATCCTCTACAACCATGGCTTGAGTAAGTTCTTTGTACTCTGATTTCTCTTAACAACTCCAAAATCATTGCTTACGTTGTATCCTTTTTCTCTTCTTTCCCCATTCTACCGTGAGTTTTTAGTCTTGCGTCATGAACTCTTGCATCATTGGTAACCGTTCCCTCTCCTGGGTGCGAAACAAATTGTAGCGATTGTGCTTTCCTGCAATGAAGCCTATACCAGGTAGGAAGGGAAGAAAAACTTACCAACTTCTTCTAAAGCATTTGTTTTGTCATTTTCTATAACAAACCCCAAAAGTTCCTCAAAAGTTGGTCAGGTAAATTCATCCTTTAGGATTGGGAAGTCTGGCTAGTTGCTTGGAATTGAATTTCAGAGTTCTTTACAATTGTATCTTTTGTTGGGATGTGGAAGTTGCCTAACTCCCATAAATACTATAACCTTTCTCGTACTATGTATAGCTGTATCAAGTGGATTCAAGATGCTTTTCCTCCTGGTGGAGACTGCTCAGGATTGGTGGTCATTTTTGAACAATGTGTGCGAACCTTTTGGCATGAGGAGCACTATAAGAACGATCTTCGTTATCTTAAAGTGTGGTTGGAATATGTGAGTTCTTATATAACTCAATCGTGTTACCCTATCATTGTAAAGCACACTTCAATTCTTGCTGTTCTGTGCGGGGATGGACCCAGAAATTTTTTTAAACGGTAGCACCATTTGACCATAAGAAAAAAATATAGGAAATTTTTTTTCAAACGGTGACACCGTTTGACTATAATAAACAAATATACGAAATTTTTTTCAAACGGTGGCACCGTTTGACTAAGAAAATGACACTAACATGATTCGGACTTGGGTGTGGGGTAGAATAAAAGCCTTGAAAACCAACTCTACCAAATAAAACTTGTTCTCATTGTAGTTTCAAAATACATACGGTGGCACACAACAAATTAATACGGTTGCACCGTACACGAAACCTAAATTTTTTACCCTTCGGCGGAGAAACGATACGGTGGCACGTGCCACCCATGGCACCTATGTAGGTCCGCCCATGGTTCTGTGTCTTGGCAGTTTGTGTATGGTAATAATTCAAAATTTCATTGCAGGCTGAAAACTGCGACGATGCTGAAGTTGTTTATAGTTTTCTTGACACAAACAAAATCGGCGAGACACATTCTATCTTTTACATAACATATGCTTCCCATTTGGAGTCAAAGAATAAGATCAGAACTGCGAATGACATATTCGAGCTTGGGATATCTAGGTATGCTTTTCTGCCTTTGTAGTCTTTTACATCTTAATCTTTTACACATTTTGTATCGTTTACATACCATATGCTTTTTGCATGTCATACACTTTAATGCTTGTTTGCTTTTGCATATATGACCAACATGGGTCTAACTTCTATTTTTCATATGGTATATTTAGATGTTTAAGGACAACAAAAACGTACAAGTGGGCTGCACAATATATTGCAATTTATAAGGCATAGCTTAGACATTTTTGTAGATATGATTATTCTAAGGGGACAAATATGGAACCACATATGTCTATGCTTTGTATCAAGTCTAATTCACATGTAGGTTTCTGTTACCATTATACTTGCTCCTTCCATCCATGGTCCTCTATTTACCAAATTAATGTCATTTTACCTTTCGGTTTGGTGTAATATGGGTGTCCATGCTGTCAAATGGGTTCCGCTAGATTGCTCTTGTTAAATAGTTCCACACGACGTAGACCATGTGTTGAAATTATATGAAAGTTCCATTTACTCTATGCTTAAAAGTTATATCTATTGTTTTTTCTATTTTTTGCTTTGTCTTGTTATTTGGTTATTGCGTTTACATTTGATGAAAAAATTGATTTGCTAGTTGCTTTTTTTAATCAAATAATATGTCTTTGTTGTAAACTTGTGATTGGAGCAAATTGATATACATATACATGTGATATCATATTTGATATAGAAAAAGAAGTACGAACTCTGTTGCAGCGTAATTATGACGATGCAATATGACCACACCATTACAGTTTTATAAACTTTACATTCCTACACTTATCTCATGAGAAAATTGACCAAGTTCTTACCAAATTTTCTTTGTAATAGGAATGCTCAACCTATTGAGAAGCTAAAATCAGCTTACAAGAGTTTTTTTGCCCGGACGATGAATAGACCAAGAGCCAGTGAAGTACGTAAATGAATCTTGTTTCTTCTGTTTTTCTTGTTCTTTGAGCTCTTGCATGAATTGTTTGTATTGATGTTAATCTTTCGAAATCCCTAGGAGGAATTGATGGATACTCGTCAACCTGTACGAAGCTTTGGAACCATCTTGGCCCGGAAAGACAGTGGTGAGCTTCATATGTGCTGTTCTGTGTGGAAAATATGCCTCAAATTCTGTTACTTTTACTCATATATTGCCTTAACCTGCCAGGAAACCGTACTCTTGAAAGTTCTGACATTGCTAGGAAAAGACCAAAGCAAGACGGGTAAGTAAATGAAGTCATGAGTGATATGATAAATAAGTACATTTGATCCTGGCCAAGTCCACTCTTAGGCAATGGTTACCGATTGTAACCTGAGCGGTTTAATATGGTATTAGAGCAGGTCATTCATGATGCTGGCACACTTTGAACCTAGTTAGCATACTTGCTGATATAACCTCTCTTTGGTGATTAAAAATCTTTTTGTTTTGATTATAGTAATAGCTAAACGTCATCATATACAAGGTGGAGAACCGATACAGTGGTATTTTTTCTTGGTAATCTAACTTGACTTGATTTCATTTTGGTAGGCCTGGGGCTTCACTCAAGGTTTTTAAAGAGACGAGCACCATGGCTAGGAGCTCAATGCACCAGTCAGAACCACCGAAATCGGACTTGAAACCCTGGCACACTCTAGGAGCACGAGCTGAGAGAAATAAAGAGAACAATGCGATCCCTGCCATGTGGACATCAAATAAGGTACGATTCAATCTAACAACTCTACATTCCAATTATAAAATTATGGCCATATGTCAGTTGATCATGTTATTTGACACATGCCAAACCTTTCCCTAAAATTTCAGATTCCCCAGAGACCTGTTCATAGAATTGGTGGAGCTACTGCCCCTCCCTGCATTGAAGTCTTTGTAGATGAAGAATGCTCAGAGTGAGTATGATAGACTAGTACTCTTATGATATAGCTAGCTAATGATGGTTAGGCATCATACCATCCTCACCCACAAACAAGGCTAAATACCAAAAAAAGAAACACCATAGTTTGAAAGAATGAGCAATATTAAGCAAATTATGAAGACAAGAAAAAAGAAAAGCACACCATAGTTGGCACTTTCATCAAATCACTCATTCATGCGAAGTCTAGTAGTCTTTTTACCATATGTCAATAGTATTGAGTGGCTTAAGCCTTGTCCTAAACAAATATGGACTTAGACTTTGAGCATCATATTGGAATGGAATGATTAATCACACTTGGCTTGATGTTTTCTTGCAGAAATGTAAAATAACGCTACATTTTTCTTTTTCATTTACGATTGCTCTTTTATAAAATGTGTCATCTGTCCAGTATTGCTCATGTATGCAAAACTAGTGTCCTTTTCATCATTTTTAGTTTTTACAAGTAGAACAATCAGTTTGCAACTGAAAGCTGAATACTATGATGAAAAAATCAGTCTCTTGACCGACCGCCTTTTTATCCACTCTCCAGACCTCATAACGTTAGCAGTGAGGGTGGACGCTCCTCTGCTCTGCAGCTCAGGAACAAGGATGGCAGCGACCTTAAGAAGTAAGTAATAACAAGAATCATTTGCACTCAGTTTTAGATAATCGACAAGTTTAACTGGATTCTTGTTTTGAAACAGGGAAACAGAACTACTGAGGGAAAACCCATTACGCCATTTTCCTCCTAGCAGTCTCAGATGATTACAATGTATGTTATATTTATCTATCCATATTTGGATCAGCTTGTTTCTGTAAAGCTTGATTCAACTTGTCACATTCTCGTACATTGAACACATGGAGTGTATTAGGAAACACATTCCTCAACAATTTGTTGAGATGGTGTATGTATGCTATCTCATCTTTTAACTCTTTGGTTTCTTGTTCTTTTATTCCATTTATGAGAGATTGTTGAAAATTTATACATATCTCTAAATGTTAGATTACATTTGTCATTTGTCATTTGTCATTTGTCATTTGTCATAATGTAAGGACTGATTCTGTCTTTTTCCTTACTTGTTATGTATGAGATGAGAACTATAGGTATGTCTTTCATGTGGCTGAAATTACATTCCCTGGGGTTGAAGGTATCAGCTATTGATATTGTGCATGAGAAGAAACCAGAATGTCTTTTTGCTTCTTTCTTGTTCCTTTTAATGAAGTCCCATTGTATCGAATATAAAATGAAAAACCAACATTAAAATGAAAGCAATTTAAAATAAGGGTAAACTGCAAATTTGGTCCGATGGCTTGTAAAATACAAAGAAAGTGGTCCTTTGCAAAAATTGAAAGAATAGTCATTGTGTTGTTATGTATTTTGCTTTGAAAATAGTCCACAACCCTAATTTTGCTAGGTCAATTGTCTTAATTATATCAAAAGAAGTTGGTGTACAAGTTTACATAGCTTATGTACAAATATGATTAGCGTTTAACCCCCCACCCCCCTTCTTTTTTCTCTCCTCTTCTTCGGCTATCCCTCCCCCGTACCTCTTTTCCATACAAGGGTTTTGTTTGTTTTTTAGGATTGAAATCCATTCATCTATCTTGTTTTTTCCACGATTTGTTTTCTTTCTTGGGGTTGGAACCTTGTTTTAGGGCCAGCTTACCAACATCAATGGTCAATTAGCTTGTTACAAGTGGTATTTGTTTAATAATTGTAAAAGCAGTAGTCAAAATTGTATCTTTTAAATCCCAAAAACAAAATTGTATGTGCATCTTTTTGGTGTTTTGATGAATTCAAAATATATGGAGAAAGAATCATTTGGTATCCCGACACCCCACCCTTAGATAACATAGCTTCGTTCTTACATCTCTCGTGAACCCTATCCCCACCCCTGGACAACATAGCTTCTCCAAACATATCTGATTCGTCTCTAAAACCCTTTACTGTGCGGGCTACTTTAATAATTACTTTTTTTCCGGCTTCTTTCATTAGCATGTGCATATCTATATATATATATATATATATATATATATATATATATATATATATATTTTTTTTTTTTTTTAATAAGGTCAATTTTTAAAAAAGAAATAGATAAAAAAAAGGACAAAGAATGTCTCCAATAGAGGTAGTATGAGAACAAAATGCTTAGGTACCAGTTTTAGATATTTCATTAAAGCTCAAGGACCAAAATTATAGTTTAATGAAATGGCGAAATCTGATTGGTTGAATGACGAAGCACTTCCTTGGTGAATAAGATTGATACATGTTTTTCCTAGAACTTTCCATCCTCCGTTCGTTCGTTCTTTAATCTGCATAAATCTTCTCCTGAATGATCAATCCCAAACCACCTATCTGTATTTCTTTTTATGGAAGATCAAATCGATTGGGACGATCTTTTTGATGATACTTTCTTCGACTCATCCTCTATCCTTCCAACTTCGTCACCAGATCATGGGGACAACCACTTTCCGCTCTCGCTCCATGATGTCGAGCAGTTGCTTTTGAAAGATAACGACGAAATTCCTACCGGAGATGCCTTCAATTCCGCTCAGGAGACGCCAGATGGCTTTTTTCATGATATTTTGCTTGATTCGCCTTTAGACGGGGAGAGATCCGGTGAAGTTGTCGATGTTTCTGATGGTGATAATTCCATCGATGAGCATATTCATAAAGCCATTGATGACCAAAAAATTGAAGCTGTTGACGATCACAAGGAAGAAAAACAGAATTCTGATGATGATCCCAACGACCCCCTTGCCAAAAAGAGGAAAAGGTATAATATATTCGAATTATAGGTTAAGTTTCAAGTTTTCTTTATTGAATTATTTGATGTTTATCTGTAATTGACATTTTTTTTTGTTCAAATGCTCATGTATCTTCCTTTCTGATACTTGCAACTCCCTAGCTGGAATTGTGAGTCTATACCCATAAAAATAGCTTGAATTTTGACTTGCCATACTTGATTGGATTCTGAGCCGCATGTTATTTTTCAGCTTATTACGGTTTAACGATATTAGGTGGTATTAGAGTTGATTTTGATGATGCGGTTGTAAAGTAGTTGAGTTTAAATTGCCCATCACTTAACGATATTAAGTGGACGCCAATACTGGAAAGAAGGTAGATAAGGCACACATGAATTAGTATTTGATTTTATTGGTTTCTTTTGGAGGGTAATGGGGATGTTTATGAATAATGATTTCTTTGAGTGAAGCATCCTACTGTCTATACTGAATCTGTGACTTAAAAAGCCTAGTGATTATAATGAAATCTGAATTGAGAAACTTGTTAATAACGAATCCAAATCGAATGTTAAGTTTTTCATTACACATTGTAGTATGATTTGTTCTAAAATAACAAATAATAATATGTTTTCAGGCAACTGAGGAATAAAGATGCAGCTCTAAAGTCTCGAGAGAGGAAAAAGATGTATGTAAAAGATCTGGAGTTGAAAAGTAGGTACTATGAAGGGGAATGCAGGAGATTGGGGTCACTACTCCAGTGCTTTATGGCGGAGAATCAAGCACTGCGCTTTTCGTTGCATAGTAATAAGGCATACAATGCTTCCATGACCAAGCAGGAGTCTGCTGTGCTCTTGTTGGGTATGTGTTATTTATCCAGATTTGCCAATTTTTGCCTTCATTCTTGTAATGTATATGTTCTATGTTGATGAAATTGTTGCAGAATCCCTGCTGTTGGGTTCCCTGCTTTGGTTGATAGGCAATGTTTGTCAGCTCGTCCTTCACCACCACCCAAGTCTACTCCTACAAGTGAGAGGAGAAAAAGTACCAAGTCTAAAAAGTCTGGTTCTGGTGAAGCTGGGAAGTCAAAGAAGGTGTAGACTTTTGGTGGGCAAAGGATACAAAGCATCACGATCGAGGATAAGGATGCCAATTAACATGATAGGGTTGGTTTTTTGACTCATTTTGTTTTTGTCATATATTCTTGTTGGATAGATAATAAATATTAGACCATGCGTAGTAGCTAGGTGTTATTGTTATGTTTAATCTTCTACTCTCTTTATTTTCTTGTTTCTGGATGGTGGTTATTTATGTTAAACATTTTGCATAACAAGATAAGGCGGATCCGTTTTTTTTTTTTTGTTAACCATGGTGTCCTCACCGGTTTGTAACTAATCTCGGGGGTATTGGAGAACAATGGCAAGTGATCTTGCAACCGATGAGTATTACATTGAAATGAAAGGGCAACAAGAAGAAATACAACGGTGGAAGCATATTCCCTTTGGATATCCGACACCCCCTTGCTCTCCTCTTAAATAACCAATGTATGCTTAATAAGCTTGTTTCTCGATTATTTATATGATGTATTGATATCTTCTTATATATTTATGCATTTATTTTTTCTCAGATTGTCTCAATATATTTATTTTTTCTCGATAGAAGATCAATATGATCTCGACAACTTGGAATCACGATTTCATTTTTTTCTTCACACTGCAACATAGAGAGTAAGAGTGTCCGAGATAGATAGAGGAAACTTTTATATCAAAAAGTTGACAAACACTTTCAAGATATTTGAACTCCCAAGGGCGGCCCCAAAATGTTATTCAAACGGAGAAATAAACCTATATGATTTTATTGAAAAAACATTATAAATTTGTTGATTGGTTTTTCTGATCACAGCCGATAGAATCATTCGTTACGATACACATGAAAGGTAAAGACAAATGGCCTTGTAAAAAAACAAGTGTCACAATATTTTTTCATTACGTCTATTTGACTGTTACCGTCTTTTCAATCAAAGTAATTTAAATAAAAAGGTAAAATTTTAAAAGTTGCCAACAACCATTCTTCCAAACAAAGAACTTTAACACAACAATATATACTAAGGGACCGTTTATTAAACGCTTACTCGGTAAGTACTTATCGGGTAATTTTCCTCACCGGATGAAGATGGCAAGGGCCAAAAATCTTACCCGGTAAGAGCAATGATAAGGATGGAGAGTCTTACCCGGTAAGTGAGGATGACGACTCTTACCCAGGTAAACGCTTACCAGGTAAATTGTTGTATATGATACGTTTTGATGTACTACAATCTTACCTATAAAACAAATTATAGTGTTAACTCCTAACATGAAACACTTGCCGGGTAGGCATTTAAGTAAATGGCTCCTAAATCTGCTATCACAAACTTGTGCCTTTACTTTAATTTAATAAAGTGTAAGAAGCCTAATTTTTTTTCTATTGCATCATGACGATGGAGCCAGGATCATCTGCATTGCACCCCCTCTTTAGAGCAATTCATGGACGATACAACGTGTTATACCCGACCCATCCAACCTGCTAATAAGGCTTTACAACCATTCTCGATGGTACCTTGTTAAAATTAATGAATGGACATGGACATAGACGATGCAAATTAAAATTTTATTATAATTAATTAAAATTTATAAAAAGTTAAAAATTCTAGGCGCTTCCCAATTCCACTTAATTATGATGATTTCTTTTTAGATCCTAAAAACACAATATCTTTGAAAAAAAGATCCTAAAAGCATAATTATACTAATAGATTCTATAAGATTTTTAGGTTTGTTAGCTAGCATAGCAGACAAGTTCGAGTTCTTTATAGGATAGTAAGGACAAGTGATCAAGTCGTAAAATACTAGGCCAATTGGACAAAAACATAGGTTAGATCCAAGCAACGACACAACCTAAACACACAAATGATCACACTACCTCTCGTCTCTGTAGAGGTCGGCCTTGCTTCCAAGCTATTAATTAGGAGTGTGCAGAAAATCAACCGATTGAATTGGAACAGACTGATCAAATTAGAACGACCAACCATAATTGGATATCCAGTTGTAATTAGATCGGATCGGATTGAAAATTTCAACATCCAATTTGGATCGGTCGGTTCTCGGATGGCAATCTAGATATGACCAGAACCGAACCGATCAACATCCATTTACTCATCCAATTAATCATTCGATGACCATCCAGTTGTCCATTGAATCATTATCCAACTATCATCCAATGAATTTATTTTCAAATTGCTTAAATCGGAATTTGTTTTATGTGAGACTTTGAATTTTTAACTTCCCTTCATCCCTTGTGTTGGTTTTTAACACATGTTAAAAGTGATTAATTAATGTGTATCATTGTTAGAGAATCAGATTGAATTACACACATCGGATGGATCTAATTTCATCGGATCATCCATTGGATATCCAATAAAAGTACTAAATGGATGCAGCCGAACCGATTCAATTATCTATTGGATGAAATTCGATCGGTTCGGTTCCTTCACATTCAACGGATGTCAACCGATGAATAGACCTACTATTAACTCGATGCTTTGTATTTAGTTTGAGCTTTGGGGGATATTTTAAAGAAATTAATACAATTTTCATATTTGGATTGGATTGGAATGGAAAGAATTAAACATAAAAAATAAAATTTTCCAAATATAAAAAGCGGGGGGTTGCTTGGTTGGTTGGTTGGTGATATCGCCCATTTTAGCGTCTCTTCTTTGACGTTTACTTCCTTTTTAAACCCACCAAGTCTCTCTCTCCCTGTGTGTTGTAGGTGAAGAAAACAGAGTGCTACTGAGACTGAAGAAATGGAATCAGATTATGGAGTTCCAAGAGAGCTTTCTCATCTCCAGAAAACTCGATCTCTTTACCAACCACAACTTCCCCCTTGCCTCCAGGTACGCTATTCTCTTCTTACATTTCACTTTTTTCTATAAATTTAAGTATCCTTGATCCAATCAAGGATCGGTGGTGTGTTTGAATGTTCATTCTTTCCACCAACCTGCTGCGTTTGTTGCTAGAGATCATCGTCAATGAGAATCAAATACATCTCACATGTATATCATGTTATATGCCTTCATGTTGCCATTTTCTCCTTTCCTCCTTTACTTTCATCATGTTTCTGGTGGTTTTCTGACTATTCTGGGATTGAATGTGACAGCTTTATGTTTTTGAAGTAGCTTTTCCTATCATACGGCATTTTTGCCGTAGTTGGAAATCATCAACTTAATGACAAATTCAGAATGCTTAATATCCCCTCCTTGACTCCTTCCGATACAAGTGCCCATGTAAACTTTTTTCTCTGCCCCCAGAAACAGAATCTTGTTTTGCACTTGTTCTTTGCCAAGCTTTATTTTCTTATTATCGTCTGTCGGAACCTCTTTTCTCTCTCAAAGGGATCTTTTGGAGAGTATTTCTAATGGGTTTCCATATATCCTCACATGGTATCATGGTCAAAGGTCTAACACTCTAGGACTCAACACATCGGCTAGATGGACCATTTCTTCCAACCTATGTTGGAACCAACTCTCTTCTATAAGTCTATTTTGAAGAGTAATCTAATTGGGTTCCACATATCCTTGCATTGTCATTTTCTAAAATTGTGTTTAATCACGGTGAACTTGTCCAAAACTTTGTGATATGATACCGGAAAGCATGGAATAGGGATCAAAATTATGCATTGTATATGCATCCATTAACAAAGTTTGTACTCAATTGTGAGTAGTTGCTGCATTTCACATATTGAACAACATGTGTTTCTGTTGCTTTAGATCATTCAATATGAGTGACCCAAGTTTGACTTTCTGGCATCACATTGTAAATAGTGCTTTCTGAATGGTTTTAAGTTCTTTTTCCAAGTTAGAAATGCCTTCTTAAAGCATGTGATGATCAGAGGTACGAGCTTGGACTGCAATTGATTGTTGACTTATGGGTCTAGATTTTGTTTTAGGCTTAAACAGATTATATATATGTACTGGGACGGTACTTCTGTAATCCAGTTACTTTCTGATAGATCGTATTTCATCATGGACTCATGGTATTTAGGTCTCATTTTGGCTGGTGTTTTGTTAAACAATATTTCTCCCTCAGATCCACTTGTTGCCTCCAAACTTTATCCTTTTTTGTTCATTTTTCTTTTACTCCCACCTCGTTGCTTCTACTGGCATGGCTTTATTTTGCATCAAGGTACAAACTTGTGTAGTTACTGGATTTCCTCAGCTGCTCAGGTTGATTGCAATTCCTTCTTTATCATCTTGTGCTCTTTTTCTTTTCCAAAAAACCTGTACACTGATTCCCCAAGCACCACCCATATACTCTCTTTTTTCTCACTGGATTGCCTCAGTGATGCTACAGATTACTTGTGATAACAAAAAAATACATGCAAAACCATGGTTGAATAGGTGGAGAACTATGCCACTGCTCAACATCTGAGTTATCTTCAAGCAGCTGTTTGCTTCCGTTTTGACTTGAAGAATCTGCTTGCAAATATTTGCATGTTTAATCGGCAGCCTAATTACCTTTTTTGGCATTTGATATGTGATAAATATCTTAGAAGTTAGAACATAAGGCTTATGAACCATTTTTATGGGCTTCTGCTCAGGGAACTACTGTCCGAGTAGAATTCGGGGATGGGACTACTGTGGCAGATTCCTCTGGTGCCCATGCTATCAGTCAATCATTTCCTCACACATATGGCCAGCGTTTGGTTCATTTTCTTAGGGCAGCTGCCAAAGTCCCTGGCGCCCAGATTATTAGCGTGCATCCCGCAATGAGGTATGGCTTTCTCCTTTTCAATTTCTTTTAGTTACTGCCTTTTACAGTTAAAATTAAGTTCTTAAGGACATGTTTTATGGGGTTTATACTTTGAAGGCTTTTTGTTTTCTTTCTGTATTTGTTTTTCTACATCTTCTCTTATTTATTTTTAAGCTTGTTTGTTATCAGTTCCATCGGAACATGGGTGCTAATATTAATGGGTTAGTGTAGGACCAGGGTAAAGGCTTTATTGCTTACCATGTATTTGTGTATCTAGAAATAAGCTCATACATTTACTATTTTTTATTTCAGGGTTGGACTGGTTTTCTGTGGTAGACAGTCTCCTGGAGGGCACAATGTTGTTTGGGGTCTTTGTGAAGCTCTTAAAATTCACAACCCTAAAAGTACTTTGCTCGGGTTTCTGGGTAAGTATTTGATGGGAGCATGTTTTGATCAACTTAATTTAGGGGAGAAAACTTATAGCAACAGATTCAAGAACACAAAGTGACCTTTAATGTACTTGTATCTATGTAATTTAGTCCATCAATGCTACAAACACACATATTTATCACATGTTATTGTTGGTCTTTTTTTTTGTCCATTTCAACACTTAATTTGATGTTCAGTGTTAGAAAGTAGAAACCATTTTTCTAATGTGAGCTTGCCAACATGCAATTATGTATTATTTTTCTCTATGGTGACTGGGACTTTTTCCTTTTGAGTTAACATGATGTTGGCTTGAAATAAATTTTCTTATGAATGTGACCAGGTGGTTCTGAAGGTTTATTTGCTCAAAGAACTCTTGAGATCACAGATGATGTTCTTGCGACCTACAAAAATCAAGGTACTTCTAAGCAAGACAATTTTTTTCTTTAAGTTTTCTATTCCAATCATGTGATAGCTAAATTCTGTTTGTTTCAATCTTTTGAAGGTGGTTATGATCTGCTGGGACGGACACAGGATCAAATAAGAACAACAGAACAAGTCAATGCTGCAATGGATGCATGTAAGGCTTTGAAGTTGGATGGACTTGTCATCATTGGAGGTATATATATGAACTATTGTTTAAAATAATTGTAGACATGGAACTTTGTGTTTGTTTATTAATGTACCTGATTTGTTTTGTTTGAAGGGGTAACATCAAACACAGATGCTGCTCAGCTTGCCGAGACTTTTGCTGAAGCAAAATGCTCTACGAAGGTATTCATGTTCTGTCTCTACTACATAGTCTGTCATATACAAAATTCATTGTATCTAGTGCGTATGTTATTCTTGGTTCTGTTTGCAATTTATTAGGTCATTGGCGTACCTGTGACTTTGAATGGCGATCTCAAGAATCAGTTTGTTGAAGCAAATGTTGGTTTTGATACAATTTGTAAGGTATGGATCTAATTGTTTTATTGGCAACTTGAAATGATGTGTTAAATGATGACATTAGAAAGTGTTTACTAATTCTGAAGTCAAGACCTGGTTTTTAGACAACATGCATGTCGTCACTCATCTGATAGGAAATTCTCTGAACTTGTCTGAATTTTGTCTAGGTTAACTCCCAGCTTATCAGCAACGTTTGCACAGATGCTCTTTCAGCAGAGAAGGTAATCCACTTGATTAAAATGATCCTTCTAGTGGTGAAGACAGTTTGATTTTAGATGTTTGTATGCCATATACTTGTCCTTTTTTGTGTTACTTAAATATTGACCCCTTTATCAATGTTTAAATGATTTTCATCCCTTCCAGTACTACTATTTTATCCGACTCATGGGTCGGAAGGCATCTCATGTGGCCTTGGAATGCACTCTGCAGTCACATCCAAACATGGTGCGCGTTACTTTCTTTCAATGCCAAATTTTGATATGAATATTTAGGCATTCTTGTTCCTGAATCATCCATGTGAATCTTCTTTGTAGGTTATTATTGGTGAAGAGGTCGCTGCTTCAAAACTTACCATCTTTGACTTGACGAAACAGATTTGTGATGCCATCCAAGCAAGGGCAGAACAAGGTCTGTGGTCGTCAATTTCGTTGTCAATATGGTGGTGGTTTGTAATGGAATTATATCAGCTTATCTTTTAAATTTGTTAATTGATCCAGAAAAGTACCATGGTGTTATCCTACTTCCAGAAGGGCTTATAGAAAGCATCCCGGAGATTTATGCACTTTTGCAGGTTAGTAAAAGGGTGCCGTTCTTGTTATCCATATTTCAGTTCTAATGTTTGAGCTTAATCTTTTACCATCTCCTTCCAGGAAATCCATAGTCTTCTCCGACAAGGTGTTTCTGTTGATAAAATATCAACACAACTGTCACCATGGGCATCTGCCTTATTTGAATTTTTACCACCCTTTATTAGAAAACAGGTTCGTTCTATTATATGTCTGCACATAGAAATATTTCTCTTTTCAAAGCCTATATATATATTAGTGCTCATGTAAAATACTTTTCCATGCTGCAGCTTCTCCTTCATCCTGAATCTGATGACTCAGCCCAGTTGTCTCAGGTACTTGGTTCATCGACTCCTGTATAAATATCATGGAAGGTTCAATAGCGTACTTCACATGCATTGATTCTTGAATATTACATGTCTCAGATTGAAACAGAAAAGCTTCTTGCTGAACTTGTGGAGGCAGAAATGAACAAGCGACAGGTAAGATTTGGAGTGGTTTAGGGTGCCTTTCAGTCTTGTTTCATAATGGGTTGTAATAGAGTTCGTTGTATGTGAATGTTTATACAGAAAGAAGGATCATACAAAGGGAAGAAATTTAATGCCATCTGCCACTTTTTTGGTTATCAAGCTCGAGGTTCTTTGCCATCAAAATTTGATTGTGACTATGCCTATGTAAGTTTTTCTCATTGAATTACACATCCATTTTTAAATCTTGGGCACTCTTTATCTAACCATGAAACAATGGTAATATAGGTTCTTGGACATATTTGTTACCATATTCTGGCAGCTGGTCTGAATGGTTATATGGCCACTGTAACGAACCTCAAGAATCCTTGTAACAAGTGGCGCTGTGGTGCTGCTCCAATAACGGTAGGGTTTCAGCCTCTTGCAGACATGCAGATTGACAGATACGGTAGCATTGACCACTTTGCAAATTTCAGGCTATGTTGAGTGTGAAGCATGATGGTGGTGGTTCTCGGGCAATGGCAATTGGGAAACCTCTTGTTCATCCTGCTACTGTGGATTTGAGAGGCAAAGTATATGAGTATGTCACCTCATGATCCCAAAGATGCTTATTTGAAATAGTTGATTTCAGTTTTATGCTATACAAATGGAATTATCTCCCTACTTTGTAGATAGTTTGCGAAACATAGACTAATTACTTTTTTTTTTATTGGGAATATAATTGGTGCAGGCTGCTGAGACAAAATGCCAGAAAATTCTTGTTGGAAGATGTATACAGAAACCCAGGACCCCTACAATTTGAAGGTCCAGGTGCTGATTCTCGGGCTGTGAGTTTGTGCGTTGAGGACCTTGATTATATGGGGCGTATTAAAGAATTGAACGAATATCTTGAGAAGGTGCTTTTCATTCTTATTTAATATACCCATTATACTATAGTTATTTCGTTAAGTTTTTGGTCATGTGTTTAATTAATTTGTTGTGGGTTATTAGGTACGAAGTATTGTGAAACCAGGTTGTAGTCAGGATGTTCTGAAAGCAGCTTTGAGCGCCATGTCTTCGGTCACGGATATTCTGTCGGTCATGTCCTCCCCTTCTAAAAGCGGAAGTGCTGCTTAGCTGCTAGTCATTTAAATGTGTGTTGCTTATAGTTTATGTTTGGGTTTCTGGTGGGTTGGTTGTTTAGACATGTGATTTTTCTTGCTCATTGTTTGAAAATGCATGCGTGCTTCAATTGTTGTTTTTAACATTCCTATTCTTCATCATCATCATAATTGCATTCTCTATGTATAAACTTATAAAACAACATTCCTATTCTTCATCGTCATCTCAATTGCATTCTCTATGTATAAACTTATACCTAACACCGTAACGATAATGTTACGATAGAGTTGTTACTTTTTACTATAGTAGATAATAATGATGAATATATAAGTAAATGAATCTATGTTACAAATATTTGAGAAAGTCTAATATTTTTATTTATTTATCAAAATTCAAAATTGTCATTTTGTCTTCATCGTTACAAGATGTTAAACTCATTTGACTGTGGTTAATTACACATATATATATATATATATATATATATATATATATAAAATGAATTATATTTTATTTTGAAACCGGCTGGAATAAATTTTATAATCTTTTAAAAGGAAATAGATTGTGGGCCAAGTATGGAGTAATTTAAGCCCAAATTGAGGCTGGCCCAAAACTAATACCAATCAACGTCGATCCCTTTGCTTTGATTTTGAAGAAGAGCATATAAACTGTGTATCCTTGTTCAACATCGACCGATCCCTTTGAGTTTCTTTCTTTCTATAAGCTGTTTCTATGGGGTATACCAAGGGCCTATTTTCCGCCATAACCAGAGATGGGGAGCCGCTCGTCAAGAAACTCGCAGCGGTTTCTGTATTCGGGGTCTTGCCAGCAGCCATGATCGCGTCTCTTATCTATTCTCCTCCCGATTTCATCTACAACCACAAAACCGCTTCTTCAAAATCTCCCCAATAGACATCTTTTCAGGTTACTTACCTTCTATTTACTTTTCTTCTGTTTTTTATTGATTTATTTGGATCTTAAATTTGTGACTATTTGCTCCCTATATATGATATTTTGTGTCAATCACATGGTCTGATGATTAGGTATTTTTTTTAGATTGAAAAGAGAGGGGTATCGTTCTGTACAAGTTGGGTAAATTTACTTGTACCATAGATTGTTGCAGGTAAAGTAGCAATGTTTAGCCACATGGCTAGACCATAGATGTTTATATAGTGACATATGCTTTAAAGATTAGATATTTATCAAAAGGTTGCTTCTTGACATGCATGCTTTCTATAAACTGTCAACTAAGGGGCTCTTAATAGTCTGAATAGGAATTAAACGGATGCATTAAATCACTCATTTTGGTATAAAAGTTAGGAATTATGTTCTTTAGTCCGTGCTTTACTATTTATACGGTCTACTTTGAGAGGTAGACCATCAACTTCACCAAGTGTGGCTTTAAGCCACTCCAACTGTAGTGATATGAAAAATAGGCATCACTATTATATTACTCTGGCCCCTTTTATTTGACTAACTTGTACAATTTACCAAATTGTCTTTTCCATTATCTATTTTATTACACTTTGTGGCCAAGATGTTAATCCTGAATTGTTGTTGTATCAACTCTCCTAGTTCTCAGATAGCCTTGTATATGGTTGATTCTTTTTTTAATTTACACATTCTTGTTAGTCATTAGGCCTGATACTCTTTTATACGCTTCTCTCCATGCATTTCTTCCACTTCTATGTGATAATGCTTTTCCTGCCCCTTTCACTCCATAAACTCTTCTTCATTAACCACTTCATTTTCCTCATCAACCAAGACAACCTGCAATGCTGGAGAAGGCCAACAATGACCTGATGAATACTTTGCATCACATCTGAAACATAACCCCTTCGTTCTTTTCTCTTGTAGCTCAACCTTGGCCATCTTTGTTAATGCCGATTCTAGTGGTTCATCCCTTTGTTCCCAACAAATTGGCTTGGATGCAATAATTGCAAAGTCAGCCTTTCTGCCTTTTGGAGCATTACTGTATGATTGTTTTTGTTTAGTGTTTAGTTGTTAATTGAATCAGTGGGGATGCTTTATATCTGGGAGGCTATACAACATTACAGGATGGGATGGGTGGGGTTAGGAGAATGAAGCAGACGCATGCATTATAGTTTGTGCAATTAAACTTCTAATATCAAAATATATTTTTACCAAACTTTTTAGGTTGTACCCTATGCAATTCTACTTGATAATGTAAAAACAATACTTTGGTGGAAGTAAAACAATTAAGAGTCAAATGGTGAAGTTATACGTTTATAGTGGATATTTGTTAAAAGCTGATGACATAGGTCTATCTTGTACAAATTGTCCACCTTAAAGGTCGATAATTGATGTTTTTAAAAACAGCCATCTTCTATAAGCTTTGTTGGCCAAACAATGTTATTGTAAAGTGTAACACCCTAGGTTCCACATTTGCATATACTCATGTATTTCATATAACAAGGAATACAACTTTACGCATTCGGTCCCAAATATCCACATATAGGCAATCATATAAATTCTTCATAAATTCCCTTTCCCTTAACATCTGGTTACCCAACCTGTAATGCACCATTTAAAACACCAAAAATGAGGGTTAGACCGAAAGGTCTAGTGAGTGAATTCCCTTCATGCGTGCTGTTACAGGGTGAATAATCACCAAACACATTTATAAATTCATATTCGTAATAATAACAAATATACAACATTTTGATATAACAAACCTTTTTTGTCTCATCTAAAAGATGAGACATTACCAATTTATCGCATCAAGTAACCCAATAACTCATTTAACACATTTTGATATAACTCATAGTATCAAATAGATAAAAAAATGAAGTCAGTTCTGATCACAATTTTAGAACTATCGCAGATGCCCTGTCACTTATCGCAGTTAACCTGTCAACTATCACGGATGCCCCGTCATCTATCGGTTTAAACGATGAACAAACTATCGGTAAGAGCTTGGGCGATGAACACCCTCATCGGACAAGGCCTGGGCGATGAGCACACTATCCGCTCAAGGCCTGAGCGATGAAAGGTCTATCCGGGCAAAGGCTTGGATGATGACCGCTCCCTCATCTCCCAAAACTTGGGCAATGAGATCCCCCTCATCTCCCAAAGCTTGGGCGATGAGCGCCCCCTCATCTCCCAAAGCTTGGGAATTGAGCGCGCCTTAACGGACATAATTTTCAAATCCAAATACATCACATAATTTCATGTATCAAAGTAAATCACGTGAAATGTAATAACACGTATTTTACAAAAGCTTTGTAAAAACTCACCTTGTCCGATATTAATCGAAATCTCATCGAACCTCTTACCCGAATCTTTCTTCTTCTTTGAATGAAAACCACAAGAACCTCTCTAAAAACTTTTATCCTCTCAAGCTTTCTCTCAGAACTCCCACCATTCCTCCCAAAACAATCTATATATGCAAAGAAGGGGTGTGAGGCGGTGCATGGGCATGCACTCTACCCCCCCCCCCCCCAAAACGTGAATGCTTTACTCAAAACCATAATCCAATACATACCATTGGACCTAAAATTTTAAAACACAAGGAGGTGACCTAAGTTTCATCTTTGGTCCCCCATTTTTCATCAACTAAAAGATTTTACCCCTGAACTTTCCATCGTTATTTATTTCGAAACCGATCAATAAATTTAAAACCGAACATTACAATATCCTCTTCTTCGAAGAATTTCGTCCTGGAATTCAATCAATTAAACAATTGAGGATATTTCATTCTCATCTCATGTAGCCTCTTACCTTTTAGATGATCTTTGGTAGCTTCATTATATAATCCATCACAATATAATCCCATTTACATTCTTTTCTTTTAAAGTTCCATTATGATATCTCAATATCCACCAAGATTATTATGGATTTGATTAACTCGCAATCTTTGGATTGATCAAATGTCAATTCTCATAAACTCTAATCCACAAAAAATTAGTTGTTTCGGTCGTATCAACCGAAGACAAAATGGTGATAAAATCCATCGCAATCACAAACTCTCAAACAGATGGTTTTAATCCCCGAATATATCATTCAACTTTATGGATCTCCATAGAAATGTAATATTCAGTAAATCAAGAAGGTTCCAGAAATTTCTCAAGATAATCCCAGACATAATAATTATATTCCCTGTTCCAATTTCAGAAATTTTCCTCTAATTGTCTGACTACAACTTTAAGACAAAACTGTTCTTCAACCGGTCAGTAAACTCCATTCACGATATCATTCGCAAATTATCTGGTTTGGATAAGAATTCCACTTTCCACCAGTATAAAATGTTAAATTTCCATCAAAGAAACAGAAAATCTCACTCTATCCTTGTTTGAAATTGACTCATTCTTCTTCAATACATCATATTCTCAATAAGATGTTATAATATTTTGAAATTTACCCATTTTTCTTCAACAAAAATAACACGAATTATGTATTCAGGATGTTGAGTCAAATCTCGACTCACAAATCTGACTCTGTTTCGTTCATCATTTTGCACTTCCTCGAATTGATCTCTTTATTCAAAATGAAACACAGGAAGAATATTTTTACCTCTTCCCCGGCCTCGGCCTCGGCCTCAGTCTCAGCCTTTACCCCTACCAACAGATGGATTCCGTAGATTATTTTCTGAGGAACTATCCCTTCCCTCTGGGGTAATTACTGCAATTTTTCTTAGATTTGCAGAATTTTTTTTGCCATCTAACAGTTCACAAGAATTTCATATACACATAATCACATTCTCAAATATAATAAGGTATCTAAGTACAAATATAATTATAATCAGTTGTAATTTTGAGTTTACCCATCTATCGGTTTAAATGATGAACAAACTCATTGGTCAAAGCTTGGGCGATGAACACCCTCATCGGACAAGGCTTGTGCGATGAGCACACTATCTACCCAAGGCCTGAGCGATGAAATGTCTATCCGTGCAAAGGCTTGGGCGATGAGCACCCCCTCATCTCCCAAAGCTGGGAGATGAGCACGACTTTACGGACATAATTTTCGAATCCAAATACATCACTTAATTTCATGTATCAAAGTAAATCACGTGAAATGTAACGACATGTATTTTACAAAAGCTTTATAAAAATTCATCTCGTCCGATATTAACCGAAATCTCACCAAACCTCTTGCCCTGATCTTTCTTCTTCTTTGAATGAAAACCACAAGAACCTCTCCAAAAACTTTTATCCTCTCAAGCTCTCTCAAAACTACGACCATTCCTCCCAAAACAATCTATATATGCAGAAAGGGGTGTGAGGCGGTGCATGGGTATGCACCCTACCTCCCCCACGTGAATGCTTTACTCAAAACCATAATCCAATACATAGCATTGGATCTAAAATTTGAAAACATAAGGAGGTGACCTAAGTTTCATCTTTGGTCCCCCATCTTCCTTCAACTAAAAGATTTACCCCTGAACTTTTTATCGCTGTTTATTTCAAAACCTGATCAATAAATTTAAAACCGAAAATTACATAAAGTATACTCTTTGTTCTTGGTACAAGTCTGTTTCTTGATTTGGGAACTAACTAAATTTAACAAAACCAATGGTTGTTAAAGTGTACCTTACAACTAACAATATATTTGAATAGTTGTATGAATCCCTATAATCATGCTGTCAAATATTTTGGTAAAGTAGCTATGTTTCAGGCTTTCAGTTGATATTTTTGTAGTACAATTTAGCAATGCATCAGCTAGAACTTTGTAATGCAACCTGGATTGTAGGTGCCGGAATTTTACAGTCTTGCATTTGTAAGTTGTACTATACAACCCATAGGGCCAGGACATATGAGCTGTATTATGCAACTTATTGATACATCCTTGTAAGTTGTAAATGTTCTTGTACAGTAGCAAGTTAATAAGATGGTTTTGCAAGCATCTGCATTTGAACTTTGAAGATTAATCTTCTTTGAACTAATTTTTATTTTTTGCTTTTTGTATCCCTTTTGTTTCGAAATGTATCCACAATGATAGGTGGAGCATAGTTGCCATAATTCTACTATTTTGCAACATGTTATAGATTCATGGTTGGAACTCAAAACTAAGCAAGGACTGAACCGTGACGATGTGAGGATAGATGATAGAATGCAATCACAAGCATATAGCTAGAATTTATATGAAATGATCCATGAGGAGTTGTGGTTGTATGGATTGGATATATAGCCTCTTTATAAAACAAAAGAACATGACACAAAAACTGTGTTAACTTAAATAGGGTGACAGATTATTTACTAATTAATAAAGATTGTTTGTTGTTGAGCAGGGTATGTTTGGAGTTGGTGGAAATGCTTATGCTGGATGGATATGGGTGTGCTGATTAGAATAATTTCAAGTTTGTCTTAGAAAATGGTTTTGCTGTTTTGAATAGACTATGAATGGCAAACTGTTTGCCTGAAATTATTTCTTTCAAGTTTAATTAACTTTCCAGCATTAGCTTGTTTGGACCATTTAATATTTCTATTTTGTGCATTCTATTTATATAGTTTCTGGGCTACAAATAAAACCAATCATGAGCTTATCATAGTGGCATAAAAAAAGCGTTCCGACTTAACAAATCCAACTGTACAAAAATGCCATTTGGGCTGTAAAAGACCAAACATCACAACAAGCCTGATGTTGACTCTCAAATTTTTGGGTGTATTAAAGCTTGATGAAGGTGACAAACCATGTATCAGATTGTGATGGGTAGAGATGTGATATTTGATGAACATGGCTAGAATTTATTATCTGAAGAGGAGAATGATGTATTGGTAATATTTGAAGATGAACAAGATGGTAATAAGATGATAGAGATTGATACCCTTCATGAAGAATTGAAGATGCCAACAAGTTTCACATAATACAACCAATGAAGATGTCTAAAGTTCTCAAGCTTAGGAAGGAAGAAGAAGAATTCCTCTAGTACATCAAGTAAGTGGGGAAGGACTTTATGAGGAAGATGAGAAGAGACGCAACACTTGCTATATGCTTCTCATAGTGATAAGTAAGCTGCACCGTAGAAGCTGCAATGAATACATAAATAGAGGCCATAGACAAGAATTAGACATGGGAATTGGTTAGTTTAATGGCAGGAGTTAAATGGGTCTACAAGACCAAGATTAATGCAAAAGGAGATATAAACAAATACAAAGCAACACTTGTCGCAAAAGGATATGGACCAAGGTATATATGGCATCAATTACGAACAAGTGTATTGTGATGTTGGATACCATAAGAATGCTCTTGGCTATGGCTGCAGAGGAAGGTTGGATTCTCTACAAACATGATGTAAAGAATACCTTTTCATGGCACCCTGAAAGAAACTGTGTACGTGGCATAGTCCGAAGGATACGTTCAAGCAAGAGAAGAGCATATTCAAGCAAGAGAAGAGCATAAGGTCTATAAACTGAAGAAAACTGTATATTGGCTGAAGCATCTCAAAAAGCATGGTATGTATAACAATACACAAAGGGTTGTCAAATGGTGAGTCTATAGAAAATGATTCTAATATGTGTGAAAGTTGTAAGAGGTCGAGTTTAATAATCACTGATTTGGGCAGAATGCATTATTTGAATGTTTTCCTAGTGTTGAGGTTGAATAATATGTTCCGGATTTACTTGCTAGGTTTCAGATGGTAAAATGTTAACAACCCCATTGTGCTACGAACCAAACTACCAAAGGAGGAAGGCGGATAGGAAGTTGATGCTTCCCTCAGTAAGCAACTTAATATATGTTATTGCCACAAGATCAGACATCATGTTTTCCGTTTGTTTCTTAATCAGATTTATGGCTTGCCCGAGAGAAGCTCATCTAATGGGAGCAAGAGGATTCTGCACTACATTAAGTATTAAGGGTTCGGGAATATTTACAAACAAAGTGTAGACCGGAGGGCTTTTAGCGATAGAACTACAAGTACATATAAGAGGTTAATTACTCTTGCATATTAAAATGTTGTAACCTTATCAACTAGTGAAGCAGTAGCTTCAACTTGTGCCTGGATTTTAGAGAGTTCAACTAGGATTAGTGATGTAGTATGACAATCAAATGTAACGAATATATAGCTCTTCGATCAATCATGTCTTTCAGGTGAGAATGCGCTGATTCATTAGAACACAAGATCATCGATCTAGCAGATATCATCATGACAAAGTGGGTGAAACTCGACTCAATTTGGAAGCTGCATAGTTCCCAAACACTTGGATCTCCATCTCGATGCTGGTCACACAAGGACTAGCTTTTGTTGGGAATCTGGGTCTTTGTGGTTACAATCACTTGGATACACTTTCCAAATACTATATTTCGACCCTTTATGCCTTTGGTTACACGAAGTTAGTATTGAGATAATCCAAGAATTCACTCTCGTTTTAAGGTATAAACCTGAGTATTTATATGCACCAAATTAACCGTTTTAGGTATTTATAAAAGAGATCAACTATTACTAGTGGTTAGACACTTAACATGTAACTGCATAGTAGTTACAATTGCTCATGGATACGATTGCATTGGAACAGTAACCGAGTTATAAGTACCAAATTCAGAGATTGAAGTTCCAGAGAAAAGAGGGGTATATTTAGGTAAATAAGATTTTGATTAAATTCATGACCTTCTACTTATTATGAGACCAGGTCATGAGTTTAATTAAAATTTCATTTTAAGTCATATACTTAATTGACCCGAGTTAAAAAGACTTAGAAGCTTCAAGCAGAAGGCTTAGAATCTCTAAATAGAAGGTTTTTGAAGCATAATGTTGTTTGTTTTTTAATGTGTTTAAGTTTAAAATCTTATTCCACTTTTGATTAATAAGAGGTATTGTTGAAATTTGAAAGGAATATCAATAACTATAAAACTGTTTATTTTTGTAAATTGATGAACGTCTGAATTTGTTTAAATTGCTTATTTTACCCATCAGAAAATTATAGTGTTAAATTTATAGAAGTTCACATATTTATTCATCATCATTATGATCTAAATTATATAATTAGAATTCATTTAAACGAAAACATGTCATTCACAATATTTAACACATTTAAAATCCTATTAAAATACATCAATTGAGTGAGGTGATGATCGATTTGGTAAAGATCGATTTAGGCTAATAGATTGAGAAATGCCTTTGCTAGGGGTGTGCAAAAAATCAAACGATCCAATTGAAACCAACCGGTCCAATTAGAACTGACTGACCATAATTGTAATTGGATCAGATTGAATCGGATTGAAAATTTAAACATCCAATTTGGATCGGTCGGTTCTCGGATGACAGTCCAGAACTGACCAAAACCGAACCAATCAACGTCCAATTAATCATCCGATGACAATCCAACTATCATCCAATTAATTTATTATCAAATTGCTTAAATCGAAATTTGTTTTATGTGAGACTTTGAATTTTTAACTTGCCTTGTGTTGTTTTAACACATAATAAAAATGATTAATCAATTTGTATTATTGTTGGAGAATTGGATTGAATTAACACACCGGATGAATCTAAACCTAATGGATCATCCATTAGATATCCAAAAAGTATCGAATGGATGTGATCAAACCGATTCAATCATCCATGGATTGGATTGGATCGGATCAGTTATCCAATGTTAATCGGATCGGATTGGTTGGCAAAATCCAACATTCAATGGATGATTTGATTGGTTGAGTTCCCCTCATATCCAATGGATGTCAACCGATAAATAACCCTAGCCTTTGTTGCTGAGAGTCTGGAGAACAATAAGAAGCAAATAAGAGGTAAATAAGAGACAATAACACATAAGTGCCTCTAAAAAAATAGAAAAAACAAATGGTTTGAATGACCCTACCTCTTAAAAACAAACAGGTCCCTAGTCTTAAAATTATAAGTTCAAGAAGGAATTCAAACATTCTAAATTATAAGGTGGATCAAGGGACCGTAAAGTCGTACAATGTGCTTTTACTCTTTTAGCTAGTTTCAAGGGATATTTTGGTTGATTTCGAGAATCTCTTTCAGTTTTTTGGTTGATGTTCATTGTAGTTTCTAATAATTCTACTTGTGAAAAGTAATTTCACATGTAAAAATCGGTTGAACGGGTGCACAGATCTGACGTACTACAAACTAAAAGAAATCATCCATAAGCATCTTCTCCGTCCAATGTTTGTAATCAACATATATATAAAAATTATGAATTAGAAACATAGTTTTCTAAAACAAAAATGAGAATGACCGGTTGAATTGAAGACCATCAATACCTACACACTTTTTGTAAGGAATCAATTTTCCTTTCTTTATTTTTATTGAGAGATATATCAAATATATATACAAGCATAAGCATCAATTACGCCTAAACATAAGCCTA